AGGGCAAGCTATTTTCCCTAAAGGCAAAGCAGAGCTTGGAGCCAGAGGACCTAGGAAAGATCATGGGGATCTGAATTTACCAATAGTGCTTCCTACACTGGAAGACAGGACATGTTGCTACCTAATAGAGGGGGCTACTGCACAGATCTCATGCCTCTCATAGGGTGTGAACATAGAGGGTACTCCAGAAATGTCCTTTTCCCTCCATGCCTCATCAAAAAGCATGGAAATGGTGTGACTGTCTCGGTACTGGGTCAATTTTCTTGTTCATTGTACTTCCACCTGTGGCCCCATCCTGTACCCATTTGCATCTGGTCCTATATATCGGATTTCTAATTGGAACCTTAAAGCCTCACTGACCATGCCTGTGAGCTTTTAGAAACACTTGATGTCTATAGTCAACGATACAGTGGTGACAGTCTAGGGAGTAGGGTATCTGGGATCTGCTCTCAGCTTTGCCAATAATTTGCTATGTGCTCTTGGACTTCACTATGCAACTCTGGACATCAGCTGTATCATGTACATCAGGGTTCAACTATGGCCTGGAAGCCAAATCCAGCCCACCACCTGTTTTTGCACATAAAGTTTTGTTGGAACACAGCTGGGTCCATTCATTTACATATTATCTATGACTGTTTTCATAGTACAATGGCAGAATTGAGTAATTGCAACAGAAACTGTATGGCTTGCAAAGACTAAAATATTTTCTTTCTGGCCCTTAACAGAGTATGTTTGCCTTATCTACAAAATGAGGATAAACCTAAGTCAAATGTGCCAGTATGCATTCTGTAAATGTCTATGGATAGGAAGACTATATAATTTATCACTGAAACTGGGGCACACTATGAAATGGATGCTCTTAATTTCACCAGGATAATGGGAGTAAACCAGGGTTGTCCCAGCAAACCGAGATGTAGGGCCACTGGTCTGCAGAATACTATCTCTATACTCAGGTGGTCATCCGACAAAAAGAGGGCCAAGATCAAACTTAGAGGAAAGACAGTAAGTTAAACACCAACAAATCCATTTATTTCTGACTCCTCAGAACTCCCACATGGGTAATTGAGAGTCTCCTAGAACCGGATACATCACACAGCTTTTTCAAAATGCTGTGACCTCCACCACATCAGCCTTCACTACAGAGAGTCTTGGGGAACAAATGTTCCACAGAGCACACTCTACAAGTCATACACTGGGTATTCTTCCCAGAACATACAAGCAAGAACTGATCCCCTTGTTCATGCAACTGTGCAGGTAGAGAATATAGGGCTATATGCTTAATGCAATTCTGAGACCCCAAAAGCTCTGAAAACAAGGTTCTTCACCTTAGTATTATACAAAGTAATTTGGTGGTAAAACCTGAACATAGTCGAATTGGCCTGATACTACTTGCAGTCTTTATTTATCCCATTTCTTGTGAGAATGTGTAAGTTTTGCTGTAGAAATATTAGATTTGGTTACAGGGTACTGCCTCAGACCCTACCAGGGTTGTTATAAAATACAGAAGATATGTCAATATATTACTAAATTCCAAACATTCTGAATTCCGACACATATCTGACACCATCAGTTTCAGATAAAGGTTTGTACTAAAACATATTACACAAAAGGAAAAGACACAGAAGTAATGAGGCCAAAGGTATATAATTTGTCTCAAAACATCTAGGGTAAAACAGGTCACACTGTGGGTAACACACATTAAAAACAAAGGACTCTCCTTTTAGCCACTTTCATTCATAGGTTCCTGCTGTTGAAAAGAAGGGAATAGGGGCTTAACGTCACACTAAATGACAACGGTCTACCCTGACCACCCCAAGGCCAGCTCTGTCCCACTCACCTCTGTGTTACCAATGCCTGAACTGGCCTGGCTCCTGCAGGAAGCAAAACGACTGACAAGTAGATGAGAATAGAGAGCGAGTGGCTGAATGATGGTGTGATGAGTTCTTCCAAGAATTCAGTCTCTCTTTTTCTCTTTTCTTCTCTTTCTCACTGCCTCTTTTATTTCTGCTCTCTTCTTCACTTTCTTAACTTCCTGCCTTTGGCTCTTGGCCACCCATGGATAGGCCAAGGAGATGAGGTTGGGGGAGAAGCAATGGAAATGTGGTCACAAACAGGGCTATTTAGGACCATCTCCCAGGCTGCTTGGATATCTCCAGGGTTGCGGGAGTAACCTGTGCTGTTCGACAATCCCTGCCACAAGTATCTTATTATCTACTCCTTTAAGTCTCCTGACAAAGAACTCCAAAATAAAAACCTTAAGAAAACCCTCAACACAGACCAAGGCACTACAAGAGACAGTTGCAAGATTCTCCAGCAATGGAGGATGAGAATGAGCAGAACCAGAACCCCATAAAGGCCAGGTCCCTTCTGAGAGCCCAGCCTTGGAGTCACCCCCTTCATCTCCCCACCCACATGCTCTAGGCATGTCTAAGCCTTTCAAGAACTCGACTAGGGGAAATTGTAGAGCCAAGTGGTTAAGAATTATGATCTGTACTAATTTGACAACCACCAGCTACTGAAGTGTGGCTAATGAGACTGGGAAACTGAACTTCTCATTTTACTTAACTTCAGTTACCTTAAAATTTAATTTAAAAACTGATACCCAATTCACTTAAGAATATTTGGAACAACTTGTGTATATGTACCCACTTCTTCAGCTATACATTTTATGAATCTAAATACAGATCAGTATTACTAATGAAAATAAAACATTTAAATTGAGACTTACTGTAAGTGTAAAATATAGACTGAATTATAAAGACTGATAGGGAGAGAACAGAAAACATCTCACTAATAATTGTTTAGCTTGATTACATGTCGAAGTGATAGTATTTTGGATACATTGGGTTAAGTAAAGTATATTATTAAAATTGGGAGGCCACGGCGGGTGGATCACAAGGCCAGGAAATCAAGACCATCCTGCCTAATACGGCGAAACCCCATCTCTACTAAAAATATAAAACATTAGCCGGGCTTGGTGGTGGGTGCCTACAGTCCCAGCTACTCAGGAGGCTGAGGCAGGAGAACGGCGTGAACCCGGGAGGTGGAGCTTGCACACACACAAATTAATTTCACTGATTTCCTTTTACTTTTTAATGTGGCTACTAAACATTTATAAATGGCACGTGTGGTTCCCATTATATTTATATTGGATTATACTAGCTTAGACAGTGAAATCAAACAGAATGGATAAAAAAACAAGGCACTACCTCCGTTAGAGCTTGGGTTATCACTTACCATTTCTGAGCCTTCGTTTCATCGCCTATAAAATGGGTATAGTAGTACCTGCCTCAAAGGATTGTTGTGAAGATTAAACAAGGTAATGTATGCGAAATATTTTGTACTGTGCCTGGAACATGATAAACACCCAATGAACGGTAGGTATCACCATCACCACCATCACCATCATCATCATAACCTCTCCCCGATTTCTAAAAGGAATTTCAGGAAATGCATCATGAAGAAAAATAAAATTATTCTAAAAGGAAATCACAAGCCATTGAGGATAAAATTGAAATATGCATGGCAAAAATCCAGGTTAAATATTGAGGGTAATTGAGTATTAAATTCTGATTTCTCGTTACCAAGGCAAAAGGGAAATAAAGCTTGAATTGTCTCATTACGGTAAACCCAACAAGTGATCTCAATAGATAAATGTATTCCTGACACTAAAATGTGGAAGAACTGTACCATGGATATTAACCTGGAGGAAGTCTAAGAAGCCCTCAGCCACTGGTTCATCTTCTGCTTCCAACGCTAAATAAATTTCTCCAAAATGCAGATCTGACTGCCTCACTCTCTAATCTAACACCTTTCAACAGTGCATGTGGTGATTAACTGCAAATGAGCACAGGGTATCTTACTGGGATGATGAACATGTTCTGGACTGGTTTATGATGACAGTTGCACAATTCAATAGGTTTTCTAAAGTCACAGGATTGCATACTTAAAATAGGTGGATTCTGTGATATGTACATTTTACCTTAATAATATTGTTAAAAAAATAATAAAACTTTCAACAGCCCCAAGCCAAGACAATGTGGAGGGTGTTCCTCTAAGCATGCTTTATGGATTGGTGCCAATCTGTGCACTGTGTGCATCAGTTCACAAGGAGATAAGGAAGGAAAGAGAGAGAGGTTTAGGAACTGTTACGGCAATTTGGCATTGCCATGATTTTCTTTTTTTTAACCATGGTTTATAAGAGTATTGCTCCAAAAAAAAAAAAAAAAAAAGAAGAGTATTACTCCACAAAGAGTTGGGAGGAAAAGCATCCCTTCACCATGGGCAGTAGGAGCAGCACTGCTTTAAACTAAGTTCCATCCATTAGCCTGACATTCAAAGCCCTCCATGAGCTGCTTGTCCCTGCAGGCTGATCTCCCTGTCTGTCCCCTTTGCAATGTACCTTAAACAACTTAGACTTTCCAAACTCTGCCATCATCTATCATCCACCTCTCTAGCTCATCGGACACACTGTCCTTGACAACTCAAATGCCTTTCCCTCCCTGCCTTTTAAAATAAATTTGTATTCATTCTTCAAGATTCGTCTTAGATGTCATCTCCTCTTACAAACCATCCTAATTGCCTTCCCTAGCAAACACCCCATTCCCCAGAGGGTGATCTTTGACTAGTTAACTCATCTCTCCAAACCTCAATCTTTTCATCCATAAAATAGGATAGTACTAGAACCTCCCTCATCATGTCATAAGCACTGACTTTAAAGAAAAGAATCAGTGCCTATGTTCCTCCAGCATCGTCAGGAGCCACACGCATCCTGGTATATTGTCATTTTATTTACATATCAGTCTTTTCCTACAAACAATGAACTCAAATGGGGCAGGGGCTGTACTGGGTCACCTCTGCAGAGCTTGGCTAGGAGGAGAAGCCCAGTAAACACGAGTAAATAAATGAAGTCCTTTCTAGACCCAGCACCTGTATGGAGAGCAAGAGGTGTATAGATTTATCACTAATTTTCAAACATAAAACCATGGTAAATGCCATACCTGATAGAAATGCGGCCAGAAAGTGCTGATGGCGAGCTCTGCCTTCACCCAGCCCTCAGTGACGACCCCGGACACATTCCAGACGGGGTTCCCTTGGGGGCCACCATTCACCTTCACATAGACGTTCAAGGCCCCTGGGCTGGACCTGTCACGGCTGGAGAAGTAGTAATGGAAGTCGATGCAGTGGGTATCATTCTCCTTCAGGGTCGGCAGGAGAAGGTGGGCCTTCTGGCCAGAGGCTCTCCCAGAGCTGTTCACCATCATGAAAGATCCTGGAGACCCACAAAGCAGGTGGGAAGTAGAGACAAAGAGAAAGTAAGAAAATACTTCTGAAAACCAGTCATACCCATAAACATGGTGGCCAGAGGAGCGGCCAGAGATCAAGTCAGTCTAGGAGGGCCTGGGTGACCCTGTGACAGCCACATCTCTCTGAGCCTGAGTATCCTCTTCTGTATTTGGGAATAAAAAATCTATTCAATACGGTGGTTTTAAGAACTAAGAGATGGTAACATGTATGTAGTATTTCTACAAGGTGCTACTATTGCTATTTGCAGAAAACATAGCTACTATTACTGTTGGCAGAAAACATCTCCAAACATTCAAAATGTTGCCTTGTATAGATGAAGTGAGCCTCTTTTGAGTTGCTTTGGCAAATTAAATGGTTGTTTCCAATTCTTTATCCCTCCTGGACCCATGTCCCTTGCCATTGGCTTTGCAGTTCCTTCCAGCAGAAACAGAGGGTATATCCCCATCCCTTGACTTTGGGCTCTACCATATGACTTGCTTTGGTCAATAGGATGCTAACAGAATGACTCAAGCAAAGGTTAAAATGTGCTCGCCCTGCTGGGCTTACCGTCTTGCACTACTGCTACCTTTCATGAGAAGAATGTGCCCCCAGTAGCTGCTGCCCCTTTCAGCTTGGGATGAAGAATACACACATGGAAGATACCTGACTTGAACCGATAGTAAAGAACCAAGCCATGCCACCCCTGCAGCTGGAATCACAGCCACATGGCCCAAAAGCCCAACCTAGATCAGCCAATCTACAATCAATGCACAGTTCTATGAGAGCTAGAATAAATGCTTATTGTTTGCCACCGAGTTTCTTCTTGGTGTGTCATGCAGCTTATTGTGACAATAGCTTATTGATAAAGCTGCCTGAGAGGGCAGACTCATGAAAGAAACCACGAGGGGGCACATTTCAGTTCAGTGAACAAAGAACTTTCTAACAAGTGAAGTTGGTGCAAAATAGAAAGGACTGGCCAGAGATAAAGTGAGTCCCCATCAATGCAGGTGGCAAAACAGAGGCTGGACAAATTAAAGAGATAGTTAAGGAAATTTCACAAGCAACTGGGAGGGCTGAGCTCTGTGTCTTAGAGTCTTACGATTCTATGAAATAAACTGCTTCATGAAACACAGCAGATAAACTCAGGTGATTCCAGAAGGAATGTTTCCACCTAGAAAAACACTAAAATCTTCAATTCAGAAACAAACTTTAAGACCACTTATCCTCAGCCAAGGTGAGCTACTTCAATAGCTAAAAGTCACCTAATTCTTTCACTCTAATACCAAAAAGACTAACAGCTCCCAGTTAATAAGTGCTGGGAAACCCGTAACTTCTTGGGATTCTAGAAGGTACCAATCAAATCCTGTCTCCTGCAGGTTCTGAGTGAATTTAAAAACACACGAGAGAGAGAAAGAGAGAAACAGAGAGAGAGGAGTTCAAAACCTCCACATCATTATTCACAAAGTAACTTGGACTTAAGGCCAAATTAGACTTTCTGCATGTTCCCCCTGAAGCACCATGCAGAGCAGGGGGATGGCCACGGACCCACCCTCCAACTCTGCCCAGATCCCTAGGGCCACAGCTGTCTTACTGGGATGACCACTTAGGATAGCTGGGTGGGCTTGTACCACAAAGCAGCCTGGTGAAAAGCACAGAGAAACATGAGCCAGTGGCTAACAGGTTTTTGCCATCCTACCAATGAGAAAAATGTTTGTGTAAATATAAGGGATACAAGTTCAGCTGTGTTACATGGACATGCTGCATAGTGGCGAAGTCTGGCCTTTTAGTGTGACTAGCAACCAAATAATGTATATTGTATCCATTAAGTAATTTCTCATTTCTCACCCCCCTCCCACCCTTCCAAGCCTCCAATGTATATCATTTCACACTCTGCATCCATGTGTACGCATTATTTAGCTACCACTTCTAAGTGAGAACAGGCCGTATTGATTTTCTGTTTTGGAGTTACTTCACTTAAGATTATTGTCTCTAGTTCCATCCATATGGCTGCAAAAGTCATGATTTCAGAATATGTAGCACCGCCTGGGGAAGGAGCCACTGGAAGTGGAACAAAGGTGTGGGTGTCTTTGCCAGTGTTTCCAAGGGAGTAAAGCTTCCTAGTTTTATGGCCTTGCAGTAACACAAGGTAAGTGGAGAGATGTCTGTCTGTCAGGGAAGTTATCAAATTACCATAAACTCGCAATGGGGCAGCTAAAAAGGAGCAATTACAGGGGCAGAAATTGAGGCGTAGAGATGAGACAGAGCCTGCATCCATGCCCATATCTGTCTGCTGGCCTACGTGCCACAGGGTTCCAGAAGGTTTCCTTGAACAGGTAAGCAGCAACTCACAAGCCCCACAAAGGGTTTGTAACTGTCTCTGCCACTGAGGAGTAGCACATCTCCCAGCAGAGGAAGCAGCCTGAGAAGCAAAGTGTCTCTCTCCTTTCTGAATCCCATGATACCCGCATGCACATTTCAGCTGCTGTCCTCCTGCCAATTCACACCGCAGGCACATGTACCCTTGGCTCCTTACAATCCACTGTAGAGAGACTTGGGAAGGTTTTCCTTTCACCAGCTCATGTTCCCACTTCTTTCCATCCTAGCTTCAGTAGCAGGGCAGGCTCGCTGAGGAGGTAGAGATTGCCCTGTTCCATGTAGCTTCATGTATAACCCTGTAACATTGTTCTGGGCACACAGCTAGATTACGTCTTCCAGCCTCCCTTTAGCATTTGGTGGGGACGTGCAACTGAGTTCTAGATAATGGGGCATGAGTATGACGTTTGCCACTTTCCAGGCCTGGTTGGTAAAAGCTGCCTCCCTCTCATTCCCACACCTCCATACTAAATGATCCTGCCTCTCAAAGACTAGTCCTTGGACCAGCCATCCCAGTGTCACCTGGGAGCTTGTGAGAAACAAGAATCTGATATCCACCCCCAGGCCTAATGAGTCTGGATCTGCATTTTATCAAGATCCCCAGGGGATCTGCATGTACATAAAGTGGTGAGAATCATTGGCCCATTCTATTTTCCCATCTACCAGCTGAATGTCCTGGATCTCAGGAGCCTAGGGGAGGGCAGAGCACCATAAAAGAAACCAGGTCCCTGAATGAGCACAACCACACAGAAGGCTACTCACCTATTAGGAGCACTCATCTTGGATTTTAAGTAAAGAGGGAATAAACTGTCATTCAGCTACAAGTCCCTTTATTCAAGGCAATAGGATGTGGAACAGTAGCTACTAAGCAAAGGTGCAAGACAGTCTACGTAAGGATATCATGAAGAGCAGCAAGCCCGGGGGGTAACTTGGGAGGCATTTGAAATAGAGAGAACAGCCCAGGCAAAGGCACAGAAACATCCAGCAATGCTAGTGTAAGGTCTTGGGGGTGGGATCCAGTGGCCATCTCTAGCCCCTTGCACATGTAGCCCACCTTATACAGGTCTGATCACACCCTCCAGAAAGGAAGGGAGCCGTATCTGCCAGTTGAGCCCAAGCCCTCCACTAGAGACTGTTCAGGAGTGAAAACCCTTGTATATCATCAACTCTGTGGGTCCCGCTTTGATCAACAGGTTGGCATAATTAATATCATCCCAGGGCTGTCAGTTTCCCGGAGATCAAAACTGAGCTGGTCATTACGCCAAGATCAGTCAGAAACAAGAAAGAGCAAGACTGTAAATACATTCTTTTCCCTTCTCCCTTAAAAAAAAAAAAAAGTCTACTAACGTGATAAGGAACATAAAACAGCATTAGTTTCCTCATAGTTATTATACATAGCACTGAAAGTTGTGGAATTAAACCAGGAAGTACTCTCTGGCTGGTGATAAATTTTGCATTTTTCCCCTTCGTGCATAATAATGCTTTGATAAGCGCCTCGTTATTGATGTGTCTGCAACAAAGATCCCCTTTTTGGAGGCAAAACGCTTCTCCATAGCAGATGGCGGCTATTGTGTTTACACATGAGCACCTCAGGATTGCATTTCCTCACGTCGGCAGTAAAAAGAAAGTCCTAATTGAGTTTTTAATGGCTTTGCACATTGTTCATTAAGATTACATGAGTGTGCTCGGGCGACTGGCAGCTGAGGGCCTTGGGCACCAAGAGCTCAGCGCGGTCCCTGCAGACAGGTGGCCCCGCCAGCTCCCAGTGCCAGCACCCACTTGAAGGGAATGGATGCTGGTGGGGCTTCAAATGCTACCAAAAGCCAAGCAGCTGTGGTGGCACGAAACGAATCCTGGATCTTCAGTCAAGGAAACTGGGTTTTACTCCCGCTTCTGTCGTTTCTTAGTTGTGTAACTTTGAGCAAGTCACTAAAATTCCCTGGGCCTCAATGTCCCCATCTCTAAAATGGGATAATGAAACCTACAGATCAAAGTTGTTTGTTTTCTGTGAATATTAAGTAAAAATGGTACTTAATAAATGCTAATTTTATAACAGATAGCCAATAGCAGGTAACAGTGAGCCCAATGCAGTTTATAAAACCTAATGTTTACTGAGAACTTATTATGCGACAGGCATTGATCTAAGCATTGTTTAACACCCTAATGAGGTGGTGCCATGCTATCTCTGTTTTAAAGCAAGGAATACGAAGGAACAGAAAGGTGAAGTCATTTTCCTAAAGCCACGTAGCCAGAAAGTGGTAAATACTCAAATCAATTATTGCTTCTTAGAAAGCAGAGACTACAGGGTCTAGAAATGCACTGTCCTAACCAGTAGCTAGTAACACCATATGCCTATTTAAAATAATTAAAATTAAGTAGAAAAGAATCATTTCCTTAGGGATACTAGCCACATTTTAAGTGCCGAGCAGACACACATGACTGGTGGATACCATATTGGACAGTGCTGATGTAGAATACATCCATCGTCACAGAAATTTCTGTTGGATAGCACTGGTCTAGAAGTTGTGGATTACTTATCAAAGCATAACAAATTACATTCAGGTGAGTCACAGGAGCTTAACTAACCCAACCTACTCATTTTATAAACTCCAG